CCCCCCCAGTTTATATACTGAGCATGACGTCATATGGTATGGAATAGCCCTTCGGTCAGTTTGGATCAACTATTCTGGCTGTGCCCCCTCCCAGTTTCTTGTGCGCCTGGCAGAGCATGGGAAGCTGAAAAAGTCCTTGACTAGCATAAGCAGTACTCAGCAACAAGTAAAAACATCAGCGTGTTATCAACATTCTTCTCCTACTAAATCCAAAACACAGCACTATGCCCGCTGCTAGGAAGAAAATTAACTCTATCCCAGCCGAAACCAGGACAATTTGCAACTTAAAAATTAATTGTAGCACAAACTTAGTGTGTGTTTAAAGAAAGATCTACAGGCTTGGTTAAGGGAATAACAGTGAGAATTGTAGATGCTATAATCCTCGCCTGTAGCTGCCTCAGTCGCACACTTTCTCACTTTGGAACATGCTGCTTTAACAGAAATTCTTATTGCAATAATTTCACCACAGTGCTTATGGCAGATGTAAAACTAACTGGAACTGGACTGTAATCTCAGAGGTGTTTGTTAAACTCCCACTTTTTTAATTGTGACAGGTGTAGTTCTATCATGAGCTAACGTGGCCCTTGATTTTAAGGAGGGGGCAAATTTGTTGTTCAGTCATCCTGGGACTTAGGCTTAGCTGCCCGAACATCCAGCAAGGGAAGAGCAGTAGGTTTCCCCTAACAAAGGGTTTAGGAACAATAATATTCAAAATAGATTGGGAACACAAACATGAGAATTCTTCTCGATGTCATCGTTCTGTATTGCACTGCAAGGCCCTTCTTTGAGGAGGGTAAAATGAAACTTTGTAGAAAACCAAAGGGAATCTTTCAGCATTTGGGTATTTCAGTTTATGTTTAAACATGTTTCCCGTATTGCTGAGGTGTATTTGCAGGTACCTCTTGGGTAGTTACCTTGTTAGGATATTTGCCGAGCCAGCGTTAAACACTGTTTTAAGTTGTTGGGTGTCTGCTTAATGAAATTGAAAGCACATACGATGCCACTGGAGAAAAGTATCAACTTTTCCTCTGACTTGATGTGAGATTTTTTCAGACTACCTTTTTGGTTGGAGAGGATGTGGGATTTGGTTTCTGTGTATACAATACTTTTTAAGATGTACGAACAAGTTTATTGGAAGGTGGATTTGAGTACACTGTATGCTACTGGTAACTTTAGCTTGGAACCTGAGAAGCTTGCCTGATCTTGTCTTTCATTATTGACCTGTGAAACATACTTTGAGATGTCAAAAGTTTTCTTTGTTTCTTCTTGTTTGGAAATGTTGAAGTTGAAATGTATCTTTGCTATAGTGCTATCAAGCATTGAGTGCTTGCTTCATTTAAAAACATGTCTGGAAAAAAACCTTGAATTGTGGGAGGACGGCTGGGGGAAAATGGCCTTAACTCATGTGCATCCCAAATATTTCTTGTACTCTGCATAGTGTATGCCTTCATTAAAAATAACTGGAAGTGTGATAGAACTTAAGAGTTTTAGGTCAAAGTTCTTATACAAAAGACCTCATTTCCCACCTTGCTACTGTATATGGAAATAACAACCATCTGTTACCAACAATGGTAATACAGTTTATCAAAAAAAATCTTCCAGGCTTTCTTGGTAAAGAGCTGCAGTAATGCTGTTTACAATAAACACAGTCTCAAAAAAAAAAAAAAAAACCCCACAAAAAACCCTCTATCCCGTCAGTGGCAGCAAGGAACACTGAAAGGAATGCTTATTATAAGATGAAGGCCTGTGCAGTGGGACTTTTCAGAAGTGTGGAACAACACAATCTGAGCTGTGTGGGGGAAGAATGGCAAACATGCAGCTGCTGAGTCCTGCTGTTTTGTAAAATGCAAATATAGCAGGCTTACTTCCGAATTTCCCCTGCTTAAATAATGGCTGTGAGTGCTGTCTTGACCATACGTACTATGCTGCCGTATATACCTTCTAAGAAATGTCGTGTTTGTAGCACAGTAAAGGCAACGTAAGCATTTGTTAGATGTTAGACTACAAAAATGGTTGCAAGCACATGAAAATGCTACGTTCAATAGCAGTATCTGCAGCATTGCAAATGGACAGCTTTTCCATAATGAAATCCTAATCTGAATCACGTTAAGTTAACAAATCTCTGTTACTGTTTTGTGCAATAAAAGGTGGTACCACACATATTAAAGCAAACTGTAGTCTGGTCCTTGGAGGTACATGATGTCGTTGGTTTATTTTCATAGGCAGTGCATTCTTTTCAATTTATAGCAAGTTAAACTTCCCCCTGAAACAAGTGCGTTGGACCTATAGTTAGTTGAAATCAGCTTAATTTTGGAACTGTTTCCTTGGTGCTAATGGACAAAAAGCACATTAACCCAGCGGGGTGGATGCTTTAAGGCTTCTCTACCCAGTGTTGAGAGTTCCTTTATGGAGGCAGTCAACATAAGGAAACATCAGTCTTTACTGCTGGGAAGTAGTGTTACAGACCTCCCCTGTTCCCTTCTGAACTTCAATGCTAGTTTAAGCATTAAGAACTTCCCCTAAATTAACATGCCCTGTATGAACGTTGCAGAGTTGCATATATTTAGCAAGTCATTAAACGTTGCCACAAACGACTGTAGGATATCTCCTTTATTGCAGCTTCGAGGAAGGGGGAAGCCACAGCTTCTCATGTTCTTGTTTTGAATTAGCTATTCAAAAGGAAATCAGCCGCTGACTTTCACAAGCAGTAATTCATACAAACCGTAATTACATAGTGGAAATACTTTATCATGTTTAAGGCACTAACACTTTTAAAAATAATAATCTTTAAACGTATCAACTTCGTCTGTAAGGAGAAAAAGGTGTTTTTCTAGATTCTCTTGATTTGTACATGATCTGTGTGACAACCTGGATGTACAAGAGCTACTCTGAAACCCTCCCTGCCAGTAGCAAAGAATTGTGCCAGGAAGAATATGCAGCACTCTTATAGACCATACTGCATTTTTGGAATGGAAAATAATTAGCAATGCAATTGGAATATAGTTTAACCTATTAATACTTAAAACTTTCTCTTTCAGCCCTTCCTACAATAGCACTGCTTAGACTCAACACTAAAGGAAGGAGGCATAGAATGTAATAAGGATTTCTGCTAGCTACTAACACTCACTTTCTAGTTTCGTAGGAGCTCAGTTGCTGTAGCAATTCCTATCAGAAGGGGCTACCTAGAGGTTGAAGGAGAAATGCATTTAGACCTAGATTTCCCCATCTGTAACAATATTCTTATTTCAGATTAGAATGCTGCCATTGCACCTCAGTCAACATTCAAATTTCTGGTAATTAAAATCTTGGTGGTAACCCTGACACCTGGCCTACGATGGTGATGCAGAGAGGAACTGAAAGTACGTCAATCACACACTGTACAACTATTCCGGGGCAGGACGTGGAAGGGAAGAGTAGAGTGGAGCATACGCTGTGCTAATCAGTTTTAGCATCTAGAAAAGAACCCTCGCAGGTAGAGGACAGTACAGTTGGTCTTTCAAGTCTCTCCACATATAGATGATGCAAAGCATCTCCCAGCAAGTCTGCCACCCTCCGAGGACAGCAGCCTTTATTAGCAAAATTACAAGAAACTAACAACTCTAATGTAGGAATTCAAGCATCCTCCCTTTTACAGCATCTCTAAGCCTAGGTTCTACTCTGCAAAACATTCACTTCATAGTCACTCATTAACCTGACCTCTTATTGTATGTAATTAAATTATTTTAAATCTTCCAGCAGGATGAAAAAGTGACTTCTGTGTTCAGTCCCATTATCGGTCTATTATATCAAGCCTAAAATCCAGTATACTGTCAGTAACAGTACAGACTTTTCAAGGTGCCTGAGCCTCTTTCAAGTTCAGATTAATCCAGAGTAAAGTGTTAGTCAGTAAATAGTAACTAGAATGGGAAAAAGATTAGTTTAAGAATGGGAAAAAAAGCAGAACAGGTTAGTTTTTTGTATTGTGTTTTTAATCAGTACAACAGAATCCTTGGAGAGGAAGATACAAACTAGTAAAACTTCCACACATCATTTTTAACACTCAAATCTATTTTTTTCAGTGGGCAGTTAAAAAGTAATCCTTCCCTCCAAAGTCCATACTTCCTCCTAGTTGGATCATTAAAAGGTAGTCTGTGGCTAATACCAAATTGCATTGAATTTGAGCTTGTGAAAAAGAAACCATGTTGCATGCTACCAGGTGCCTCAGCTCTCACACTTCAAATTACCAGTTCTTAAAACCATCAAACTCATAGGAAAAGGACTTGGTAACTGTAGCTCTTTTTTGGGTCAGCATTAACAATTTAACCTCACATTCTTTCCTCACTAAAAGATAAGGTACCACTAAGGCTTTCTAAATCAATTTTTTTTTAATGGCAAGTTACTAGACTGGACCATTAACAAGGAATCAAGAGTTTCAATTAAGAGAACCATTAGCACTGGTCTTCACCAGAACTTAACATCTATACAACTTACACGCTACAGATAACAGATCCTATCTCAAAAAATAAATTAACTTGTCCCTTTAAATTTCCAGGGCTTAAAATAAGACTTTGGAGTCCTTGCTTGATGACTGCATGTCAAACTGCCAGTTGTTGCTTTTTAGCACATGACAGCCTTCAGAAAGATAATGACCAGCCAGTACACAGGGCAGAACCACCTTTATTACAAAAACACCTTCAGAGGCAAACACCTGAGAAACTTTTCACAGGGTGTAGAAGCAGTAATTTTACTACTACAGCCCATTAAACTGAGCAATCCAAGGATTCTCAGATTAAATCGACATCCTTGAGATAAGCAAGTAGCAGTATCCCAACTCTCCCAGTGCAGGAACTGTGGAACTAAGCTGTCCACAGACACACGTCTAGAAATGTCAGAGGCATCTGCCCAGCGTTGTAACTACACTTTATTGCTCAAAATAGAAGTGATATGCACCAATTCTTTCCTCACTGACTTCTCTTTTCCTTCTCACCAGTTTCTTGTCATTGCTGGCTTAGGGTGGAAACAGAAGTATTGGAACTTCTCCACACCCTCTATCCCCAAATTTAAGAATAGACCAGAATATACAGTCCAAACAGAACTAACTTCTCCCTCTCATAAAAAAGCTCTTCTTTCCAACATAGGTACAAGAACACTAAAAGAAGTCAACATTAATTTAAATTTAATACAAAAAACCCAATCATCATTTACAAATGTTAAAATTCACTTAGTCTACCCTGGCTAGTTCATACTCTGGAATTTTGTTTTGAAAGCATTCAAAGGCTTGAATGAAAAACTAAGCATCCTTATTATGTTAAGCCACTCTTCCAGCAGAAAGCCATTCTGTTCACCATTTTGTTCTGAAAATATTTTACAGGACTACTAGTCAAGTAGCACACACAAACAAGTTAGCAAGATCTGGCTGTACAGTATTTTACACCGATACTGTTAAAGTGCATCAAAGAATGCCATCCAGTGCAAGTTCAAACTCTCTTCCTGAATTATTATTTAGCAAGCGAGGCGAGGCTCCCTACACCCTATCCTATTAAAGGATCGTCGTCATCATATTGTAACTGAAGTCGGGAAAACGGCCGTGGGGGAGCTACTCTATTCTTTGAGATTATTATAACGCAGGTGAAAGTAGTCAGTATCATAAAAGCCCCAATAACTATCCCAATAGCTTCTGGAAGATTTATGCACCACTGGTCAGCAAGCAAGCACTTGGTGTTACTGAAAGTGCCATTGTGCGGCTGCGGTGTCAGTCCCAGGATGTGGCACATCATTGGGTAAATATCAACATTGTTCATTGTGCTCTGCTTGTAACCCCGATGAAAAGCAGGCCCGCGAGCAGCCAGGAACGGATGCATGCTTGGGAGAGCGTTGTCATAGCCATGGTCGCCTACTGGAGAAGTGCAAAGTTAAGAGTTAACATCCCAGCTTCTGTTTGCATATCAAGTATTCCCCTCCCTACCTCTCCCCCACCCCCAAAAAGTATTTTAACCAAAGGCTAATGCAGAACATAAAAGCAGCTGTTGGATCAAACACTGAAGGAACCCAGAGTTCCTTCCCTCTTCCCCAGCCCCCAGAAGTCTTTTCCCATACCAGTCTTCAGCTGTGGTCCTTCCCACCCCCTCTGCCCCCCCCCATTTTCTCTTTTCCTTTCAGTCATCAACATTGTCAGTTTTCCCCTTCCCACTCTTCATGCCAAAGTTGAAAAGGATGTTGCCACTCCGCTAAGTCAGTAGCTGGAATGCAAATTTGTAATTCTCAGATTTTGGAAAGACACCTCCCCCTTGCAAAGCAGATGCTTTAATTACTTCTTAAAAGCCAAACACTTTCCCCTTGATAGTGCTCAGTTCGAGCATATTAAGTACCCTAAATCATGCTTATCAGATTAGGTACTTCAGGAGAAAGGATACCCAGATAGTCAAAACAAAAAATCCAAGGATCATGATGCCTGTGAGAGGCAAACAACAAAACGTTTGTTGCTACAACGTCACGAGTACTTGGACATTTCACAGGTTTTTAAGAAACACTCACTCCGATTTTTGGTGGAATATACACAGCTAAAAACCAACCCTAGTCAAATTTCCTAATAATGTGCTTAAAAAAAAATCTGTCCAAGGTGCCAAAAATTTCTCATAGCACACACAGTACAGTATTTGAGTGACTGCATTTGAGTTGACTTCTTAATAGCAGTTTAACGAGTCTCCCGGAGAACTGTCTCCTTGGCTGCTTCATTGACGTTTCTGATGTGAAATGTCAAGATTCCGATTGATTAGGTCACGCTCACCACTTCAGTATACTTCCAATATTCCTTTTTAACGTTTTCCACCGTTATGTTTGTTACTACAAAGACAGTGCTGCACCACATCTTGGCTTGTTTGTTTTAATGCAGTCCCATGTTTCTTGATTACCGTACAGATTTTCCAAGGGGCCTGAGTATCGGTACCCTTGCCAATCATCACACTCCAACTTTGCCCATGAAGACAAGTACAATAAATACTTAAATAACCTTTTATGCTAAAACCTCCCCTGCCTGCTTCTGGGAAGCCTTGGCTGGCAAAACTGTTTTGAAAAGTGATTCATTTCAACTGATACAATGCTGTTACTTGTATATATACACTTATTAACTATTCTGAGGTACATGAAATTGAATCTAACCATAAACGAGAAAAGAGACTGCTATTAGAGAACACATGTGCTAAGTGTTGTCAATTTGAAGAGGACTGTAGCAAGTCTGTGGGGAAGTTAAAATACAAACGTACCTTACATTAAAAGTACTTTTGTACAAATAATGAGAAAATTTGTACTTAAATGTGCAGAGGGCAGACAGTAAGAACAGCCAAACTGGGTGAAACTGGGAGTTTACACCACCCAGCATCCTGTCTCTGAGAGCAGTCATAACAGGGAGTTTGGGAAGTACTCAGCAGGGTTAGCCCCGAGACCAACAGGCCTCCAGTGCTGGCTGCTCAGAAACTTCCTGGAACTTGGTACCTTTGTATTTAATTTCTACCAATGGATTTTCCTTCCAAGAATTTGTCCAGTCACTTTCTGAACACACATATATATATTTTACATATATATACATGCAGCCTTTGTCTGCAACCAGAATTATGGGTTGAATTCTCTTATTCTGACAATAATGAAATGTATCTGGAATTTCTTCTTTGAGACATACTTTCATGTGACTGTTGCATTTTTTCCAGTAAGTTATAGATGCCTCTCTTGTCTGCCAAAAAAAACCCTGCGTGTGAAAACACCTGGATACACATATACACATATATATACACACATTTACTTTTTTTTTATATATATATATATATGTAACTTGACATTCGTAGCATCTAGCACGAAGTGCATAGCTTAGTAATGCACTGTGTGAAATAACATCTGGTTTGGTTTTTGTCTTTAAAACATGCTATTTGATGAAGATGATGAAGAACTCTGGCTTCTTTGACCATTATTGGGTTTTTTCCTATTCTTTTTAGTACTTCCTCCCATTTATTTTTGTTTGCTAGTATATGTACTGTAACATTAAAAGTTGTGTCCTGTGTTCTTCAATTTATGCTCCCCTATATGTATATTTTATATACAAAAGATAGTTAAACCACACTCTAGTGGAAGCTTGAGACAGACTGCTAACTTGCCTAAGACAACTCTTAAAAGCGTACATCAAGCTATTAAGTTGAACATGACGAAGTGTTTTATCCAGTGGAATATCCCCCATCAACTCCTCATCTGTTAAAACACTCCAGGCTCAGGCTGAGAATGTTCTAGAAAATGCTGAAATGTTCCTAAAGATGCACAGTGCCAGGACTCCGCTTGCTAAACTAGGACCATCCTACAGATGGTTGGAATAAAAACAATAAAAACCAACATAAGCCACCAAGAGTACAAATGAGGAAAACACACTTACATTTTGAAAGTGACTCGTTTTGTACAATTGTCCAGCCTTCGTCTGCAACCAGAATTATGGGTTGAATTCTCTTATTATGACGATAATGAAATCTGTCTGGAATTTCTTCTTTGAGATATACTTTCATGTGACTGCTGCATTTTTTCAGTAAGTTATACACAACTGTCTTGTCTGCCAAGAAAAAAACTGCATGTGAAACAGCGGGAAATTATGTCCCGTTTACTACAATTATCTGTCATTAAACCCAAGATCCATTTTTTTCAAAACAATTATTTTTTAAAAGGCAGCTAGAAAAGGATTTTTTTCATGTCCCTAATGAAATGTTACATGTATCAAGGTGGATTTCACAATCTGCTCTCATTTTAAATGAGGCACCTCACGGCTGTGGTTTTGGACCTACAGTTCAACTTACCCTCTGGGCCTGCAGGGGAGGAGGGCAAAATTCAAGCAGAGAAATCAAGAGAAAGCAATCACACACCAACGCAGTACGTATTAAATTTTGTTACCATATAAACCATTTTGTTCGCTACAATGCTTCAGTCTGGCCACGGTTGTAGAAACTGAGACCAGCAGTGTCATGATTTAAGACGTGCCTGTTAGTAACTACTCCAATATAGAAAAACTGAATTCGCAGTATGAAAACTGAAGTTTCATTCACAGAAACAGAAGTGCTAAAGTGATCAAAGTTGGGGTTAGATTTTTAATGGGAAGTTTAGACAATGACAAATGTTATTCTGAATAAACCTGAGGGTTTATTTCATGCTCACTGTGAATTACAACCGAATAGAATAAGTGAGCAACAAGAGAGCAGGCATACTAAGTGCCTATCTTCTTTTTCAACAAGCTGTACCAGGACTATCTTTACCACCCATAGCATTTTGACAAGAAATGCTCCTTGGCCCATTGATTACCAAAACAAAGGAAGTCCTAAATAAACAGATATTCTTTAGCTTATTCATTAAATTATGTCAAAGTTGTACAATAGGAACTACACTGGTTTTGCAAAAGATGTGAACAGTCTACCATAGCGTGTACTTTTTAGTAGTAGGATAAACAAGATTTAACTCTCAGTGTATGACTTAACAAACAAACAAAAAAACCAACCCAAAACATACTCTGCTTTGGCAGCACTGCAGCAACTGGACTCTTGTCTATCAGAGTATAGTTATTGCGCCCAATGCAGTGATCCAGGATAATCAGCTTCTCTGGAGAACAGGAAGCCATTCCATGATCACTTGTTATTATGATGTTAATAGTGTCCCACAAACCTAAAGCCTTCAGTTTATTAGTAAGGAAACCAATATGATTATCCACTTCTTCTAATACTTTGCGCATGTTCTCAGTGTCATTTGGTCCATACTTGTGCCCGCTTGCATCTGGTTCTTCCCAGTATAATGTAGCAAAACTGACTACTGGATTAGAGCTGTTCAGCCATGCAACAATCTTCTCCGCTCTCTCCTCAAACGTTACTGAAAAGTTATACTTCATAAAGAATTGAGGGGTCGTATTGTTAATTCTTACATCGGTACCAGGCCACATTGCAGCAGCACTTGCTCTATTTCCTTGCTGTTGATTTGTTACCCAAATCGGAACTGCCTCATTCCACCAGAAGGGATCCGAATCGTTGAACTGCGAAAACTTTTTCTTGGTATCTGCGTCATACATGTCATTAGCCACGATGCCATGGCTTTCTTCATATAAACCTGTCACTATGGTATAATGGTTTGGGAAAGTCTTGGTGATGAAAGAATTCGTAACTTGTTTCACAAGCACACCATCCTCAATGAACTCCTGAAGATGAGGAAGTTTATAGGTTTCCAAGTAATCAGCCCTGAAGCCATCAAAAGACACAAGGAGTAACCTCGATACCAAATCACCAGTAGAGTAAGCACAACAGGCAACTATTCCAGAAAAAAATAACATTAACATCGAGTTCATTGTTGATACTTCACAGTATTTCCAGCAGGTAAGATGCACCTGAAAAATTTAAAAAGATGAGGCATGTTAACACAAAATAATTTTACTGGAACCAGTTTAAGTAGCTATACATTATGTATATCTTCCTTGTAGAAGTTAACTGCAAAATAACCGGTCTAAACAGCCACGGAAGTCAACAGTATATTTCCCTAATGACTTCAGAAGTTTCTCACACATTGTCATAGTTTTTCATATATTAAAACAAATGAGCAATGAGATTTTTTTCATTCCAGACTAAATGAAAGGAAGAATTCTTTTCTCTCTTTCAAGCAATTATTCCATCGTTCTATGTGTCTTGTTACAATTCTACATTCCAAGACAGACAATCAGTATTTTTCCTCATGTTCAAGCACAGGCACCTGAACAACTCTGGCTCCACATTTAAGAGTCCTGTGCAGCTCTAAATCCTGCTTATGCATCACTGTTCAGCCCAGAATTTTGTCTTCTGCTGTAATTATAGTTTTTCTTTTTCATCCCACCTTTCCTTTTCCACAGTTTCCACCCTCTCGACTTGCTGGAAGACTTTTGAACCTTTCAACATTCGTACTTACTCACTGCTTACTCTATACATGGAACTGCCAGGAGTAACTTCTACTTCTGTTTTCCCTCTAAGCTGCTGTACATCTACCATAACAGTATTTATTCATTACGTACCATACTTCTCTCTCTAAAAAAAATTTAAAAATCATTAGTAACCTTAGCTATGAGGCAAGCATTTCTCACCAAGGAATAATTCATGACTATTATGAATGCAAGGTATGACTTGTAAGCTTTTCTCCCCCTCCCCTAAACTTATGCGTGACAGGAGCACTTTGTTCAGGAAGGTCCAGAATGACTCTCTAAGTCTTTAAGAAAGAGGAAGCAAAGCTCCACGTTTCACGAAAACTTCTGCAGTCTTGTTAGACGGCGTATTCGCTTCTGCAGCAGAGCCTCACTCCAGCAAATTTCTCCTTCATCTCACCTGCACAAAGCAGCGTGACTCTAGGAAGAACGGCAGGTATCTTCCTAACCGCAGTAATGCCTTCCGGCCTATCTCAAGCCTTCCCCCAAAACTCTTTAGAACTGTGAGTGTATTATTTTTAAAGTGTAAGTGGCTTTAACGGTAGGTAGCTGAAGCTTTAGCTTTAGTGAGGGGAATTCAAAGCACGGGAAGTCATCCCCCCCTTGCAACCAACAGTTAGAATTCCTTTGGAAGATACAAATGCTGGAAGAAGGGATGGTCAAGGGGCATTAAGGTATCTCTTAGTACAGAGGACCTGTAACACACAGCCCCTTTAAAGAGAAAAACAAAAACAAAACAGAAGACAAGAGATGAGATGAGCATCGGAGCAGAGAAGCACGCGTCCCGTGCTGCCAGGCCGGTACAGAGCAGAAGCGGAGC